AAATTCTTACCTGGAAATTAAGAAAATCTAGTTTTTGGCCTCAAAAATTGGGGGTCGACTTATACACGGGATCGACTAATACACGGGTAAATACGGTAATAATTATTTTTACCATATTTTATGACTCGCTAACTCTGAAAAGTTGTGTCTCACATCATTTTCCAAAGCTTGGTAAGAAACCTAATTACCCCAATTCTTAATCCTAGTTATTAAAAAAAAAATTGTAATCAGAATCTTGACTAAGTGTTGCCAGAAATTACCTGTAAACAAGCATGATTAAACACAGCAATAGATAGCCACCTCCAACACACAGGTATGCTAAGGGCAGGTTATACTTAAAGTCATCAATCTTTTCAACTGTTTCATTGGTGTAAGCACCATAGTACAGCTCTGTTGTGTTGAACCAACCCTTAAAAACCAAGGAACAAAAGCTCAGCATGTACATGCACACATCCAACTGTATCTACAATTTTGGTCAAATGTCCTTGAAACAGCTATTATGAAAAATCACAAGATAAAACCTGTGCCAGACAGTCTTTTGAGATGACAACTACTAACCTTGTACAGTACCGCTCAAAAGTAAGTTACCACCTTCTCGCGAGACGAGATTCTCGTCTCGCATGACAAGACTCTCGTCTCGTGAGAGCTTTAAAAAACTGTAAGTACAGCTGCCTGAACTTCTCACAAGATTTTAATAGCCTATTGTAAAGCAAACAATAGTTTTTCCTTTAACAAATAAGAACCATCCATATTAAGCTATTTGTTCTTGTTGTCCTTGTTGTGCCAATTTTTCCTTATTTTAGTGTTTGCAGGCAATCAGAAATGTATTTGTACTGGACAAGAAATGTAAAAGATTTGCTTGCGCACAGCCTGCCCAACAACTGCAGAAATCCCACTAACAGTACTACTAAGTAGCTTGAACTAGTCTTGAAAGGTTTCCCTGAAAAATCCCCCAAGTTCCTGCTTAGAATAAGTGCCCTTCCCTTTGGTGGATATGGGTAAGTCCTGGAATTGCCAAATTTGAGACAAAACAACTATTAATACAAATTTTGTCCCAGCAGATCTTTACTTTACAATAATATTCTAATGACAGCCATAATTTGACATTTTAATTATTATATGAGCTGGTAATTTGATGCCCTTTATTGGACTCCTTTTTCTGTTTTGTTTCAATAGTTGTTGTAAGTTGTTCTTATCTAAACTAATTATTATGTAATTTGAATAAATACCTACAGTACCGATCAGAAGAAACCTTACAGGGAACATGTTTGCGAATGGGAACAGAATGGATACAGAACGGGTATGAGAATGTGCACGGAACAGGAACCGAACGGATACAGAACAGTTATGAGAACGCGAACGGAACAGGAACAGAATGGGAACGGAACGGGTATAAAACGGGTACAAGAACGTGCACGGAAAGGGAACGGAATGGAAACAGAACAAGTACAAGAATGCAAACGGAACAGGAACGGAACGGATACAGAACAGGTACGAGAACACAAACGGAATGGGTACAGAACAGATACCGAACGGAAATGGAACAGATACAGAATGGTTGTGAATCACAAAAATGGAAAAAAGCATTCTCCAGAACACAAACTATAAGAGAATGTTCTTTAGAACACTTGCTCGTAAGTTTAATACGCTATCACAGTCCTTACCAAGGATTTGGAAATGATGTAACCTTAAATACACGTTTCTCCAATTTTTGTCCAGCCTGGCGATCTTGAGAAAATGACAGAGCAAATCATCTTATGTCTTTTTTTATTTCTTTTTATACGCACTAAGCAAGCATCTTCCCTGCATCTTCTTGTCCATTTCGTGTTCATTGCGGCCATTTTGTTTTTGTTGACAAGCCCAAGTTATATCCAAATAAGGAAATGGATGGACGAGTCGAGTTAGACTGAGATTGAAAGGTTTCCACATAAAGAGAAACAAAACAAAACATCGATATCTTGGTTGACCTTTATTATGGTGTTGTTTGCCATTTTTGCGGAAGGATCAGTGAGGATAATGTTCAATCTTAACTGAGCATTCGCCTGTGAAAATAACATCACTAAAAGCTTCAGCTCTTTGTCAGTGCTTTGCACCGCTCACGTACGTCCTCCAGCCAAGTTTCTGCCGCATTCGCCAAACAGTTTTAAATCTCATTAAAAGTATTCATGTAAATTCAAGAGCCGAAAGTTCATCTTTTGCTTGCATTTTTTCATTGATGGCGTTAAAGGTGCTTAGCAAGCTGATTTACTTCTTCCTTTCCTCGGGCAATCACGCAGACTACTAGTCGCTTTGTATCATTTCGGAAAAGACTTACTAACTAGCCTTGAAGTTACAATACCATCTTCCCGTATTTTTCGAGTAACTAGACTCATACTTTCACCACAAAAATTTAAGTTAACTGTTTGTATTCTCACATAATGCAACAGTTTTAACCCATTTCATGAAATGTAAATGAGTGTTGCTAATCTTGTAAACAAGTTCTCGGAAACCTCATTCTTCTGAACGAGTTCCAACAACGCTTAGTGATGGAATGCTAACAGAATGGGAACAGAACAAGACAGAATGGATGGAGAACGGATACGGAACGGACATGGAATGGATACGGAACAGATACAGAACAGATACAGAACAGATACAGAACAGACACAGAACGGGAACAGGAACGCGTGTGGAACAGAGACAGAACGCGTTCTGTCAAGCGTTCCCTGTTAGGTTTCTTCTGATTGGTACTGTACACCTGCACTTTTAATAGTAAGACCAAAAATAACTGGAAGTATGTTGAATTACACGTAAGCTGCATAGCTGTTTTACCTCCCCAGTGAGTAGCTCCCATCCTGTGAAGGAAACAGTGTTGTGCTTAGTGCTCTGATCATGGATGATTTGTGGAATGAACAGGAAGAAGACTGTTGACAACGAGATCACAATGTTAAGAAGAAACAACCAGCGCAGTAACACAAAGTACGATTGTACCCCTGATCCAAACATGCCTGAAACAAAAAATTTAACAAAAATTTAAAAAATAACAATGCAAGAGGAACTGCTTTGCCCTACATGTAAGTACTACAGAAGATTAAAAAAAAACAGATTAAGCCTACCTTGTCAAAAAAGTATAAACTTTAATTTTAAAAGGTTAAGGACAAAAATTACATATAAAATGAAGTAGCATTTAAAAGTACAAAATGAATACATGTTGATATTTTCTTTGNTTTCAGGATTCCCAGTAAAATTTAACTAATATTTACATTATTTACATTGTATTATTTACCATGGCAACTGAGAACTTAATTTGTTTCCAGGTGCTAATTCTTTTTGCCTTTCCTCTTCGGACTGCTGACTCAGCAACATTCTCTCTTCATACACAAACAACAGGCATAATCAGCGAATCATTTATAGTGACATGTGTATAACAATAACATCTAATTAATTATTAACTGTTAAGTCCAAAGTAATAATAATTATTAGCAAAATATCTCCATTTAAAATAATTCTAATTGACCAAAATGCTGCAGATGCAATTTACAGGTAATTAGAGAAGTTACAGGTCCAGAAAATGTCCATACCCACCTCAAGGAGGATTATTGGAAATTCCAAGGAGGAGAGCTAGGGCTCCAAAGCCAAAATTTTGAACTAGAACTGGAATTTCTAGAGGAGCTGAGGGGTGGTGGTCACTATTTTGATGAGTGGGTGGGTAAAACCAGCCACATACCTGAGACTGCGCTTTCGCCTAATTGATGTTGGCATTTCCTTGATGGACTTCCTCCTTTTTGTCAGCTCAGCAAACTCTTCTGATGTAAGATCCATACCACGGATCACTTCATCTTCATAGCCATTGGCGGTGGCATCATCTGTGCTATCTTGAGACAAGCTTCTAAAAGATGCCCGTGAATTGTTCACCCGCTGTTTAAGAGTTCTTCGCACCCCTTGCTTAAAGGCATTTTCAGATGGCAGACCTCTAATGGAGCGAAACTGGTGGCTTGGCATGCTTTTCGCTAAATTTTGGTCATCTTCCCACGCATCATCATCACCTTCATCATACCCTGCATTGGCCGGTCTAACATGGACCATGCTGGAGGCATTGCTGTTATAAGTGTCTGTAGATGCCATTGATTCCTGGGAAGGTACTCTCCAGAGATTCCCTCTCTCCTCAAGAGCTTCAGCGGTAAAATTGAAAGGTTATTAGAAATTGACGTGCCAAAAACACACAATTTGCACATTCAAGCTTAAATTAAAAGCTGTTCATGGATACTGTAATTTATCACACTTTGTGCACGCTTAAATGAATGAACTCGGGCCTTTCTCTCACACAAAAACGTGTCGTGAAAGTTAAGTTGTCATTTCAAAATATATATGCAGATAATAAAGTGGAAAGTGTTTCACTTCAATATCAACATTATGAGCTCGACAGCCCCTCGGGAAAAAATCCTACTGTCTCTTGTTCGATTTCGTTTAACCACGATCGAAGCAGTAACAGATGTAAAGCTCGAGTAATTTTAACCGATCAAAAATGTAGGAGAATTAAGCTTGATTCCATGCAACTATGAAGAATATTTGTGTAACAGAACTTTCCGTGTCATAAGCGTCGCATAATTTTGCTCACAATGCTCAAGGAACCTTTTTTTCTCTTTTTTTCCTAACCACTTGAAACAAAGAAAATTATGGGTTATTACCCTAGAAAAGGCTTAAGGCCTACTCATAAATGCTGTTTAGCTTATCACAAATATCCCTACCTTGATCTCCAAGTCCAAATACAAGCTGCTACATCGAATGTTGATGAGCGATCGTTCGTTTTGAAGTGAATCGAACCAAAACTAGAATTTAGCAAATACGTCACGGGGAGTATTTGCATAATCTTTTTACGACTGAAACATTTTCAAGTTCCCATAACAACAAACTTATTGTTTGACATATGGAAATGACATGGAAAGGCTATTCTCTCTTGATTCGAAGCTACAATAGGATCACAATAAGCTTTAAGCTAAATTCAAAACCTTGCTTTGGTTTACAACGCGCATAGTATGATACTGCACAATTAACATACTGCCATATTTTCTTTGAATTGCGAACTTTTAAGAACTAAAACAGAATCTCCAAAGCTGCTTAATATCTTCCCTACTGCCCATTCAAAGATCAGTAAGCTAAGACASTTTGTAAGACTGCAAACGTATGTCTCATGTTCAAACAACGACCATAAGAAATGGCTTCAAATGCGCGCAGATTTCATTCCGTTTAGAACTGTCAGCTTACTATAAATAGTTACCGCAAGTTTACTAAACAGGGAGCCATCTTACCAAAGCTTTTGTTAACTTGGCCTACACTATCGCTGGATGCGGGTTTTTCTTCGTTTTCTCCTGCGCCAGAGCTAAAGTCCAGATAAATACCTTGATTACGACTCCCGCCTGAGGCATGTTCGTTCACGTAAGACATACCAGTAGGTCAGCAGTTGGCAGGCGTTACTCTATCCTATAAAAAAAAAAACCGACTTATTTTCAATATCCCCCGAAAATAATTGAAATTTCACGGTCCTCTAGGCTATCAGATAAGCTAATATGCTCAAATATTGCGGCCTACAGTCAACGCGTTTTTTTGCTTGACGAAGTTCGAGGAAGACTGGGTAAGATACGGAAGTTCAGCACATCACTCAAGCACAAATCAGCACAATACTGTGCCAAGTTCGGCCTTGCCGGGTCGTGGTCCGGGTAGAGGAACTGCCCTACCGCTCAGAGACTAGCGATCAAACGTTCAGAGGGATCTGAAAGTTAGTTATGAAGAGGGACCTGGAAGATTATATAAAAATTGGAACTGGGCTTTGTTTAACTAGGACGCCTAGCTATATTTCATTTTTATTGGGAAAACGACTAAGTCGCCTGGCACTTTTTTTCCGACTCTGCCCTCCCCTCTACCCTCATCCAAATGAAATGACGTCACATCC